ACAACAGCTAATTTGCAACCAAAATGTGAGTGAGCGTAGCGAACGAACTTCAACCTGGAGGCGAGTTAGCGTAGCGAACGAGCTAACCTGAGGGCAAGTGAGCGCAGCGAACGAGCTCCAACCCAAAGGTGAGTGAGCGTAGCGAACAAACTTCAACCAGGACGTGATTGAGCCATGCGAACGAGATAATCTTGAAAATTAAGAAGTTAAACGGGGCAAAGCCCGCGGGTTACAGCTAGTATATATATATATATGAATTTGAACGGATGGTGTTTTTGGCCTCTAGGGACCTCAAAAAGAAAAAAAAATCGGTCCCAGGTCCAGGTCTTACCATGAGTACTACGGTAATAGCTTATTCCCTATATGGGAAATTCGCTAAAATGAACAGCTGTTTTATTAAAAAGTATTATCATAGACTAAGCAACAAGGGAGTATGTTTTATCTATGGTATTATTCACATGGCCAAAATGTAAACAACTCTGTGGAGGGATCTTTAAAGGCTTCTGGGGCAGAGCCCTAAGCGAATTTACTTTGATTTTCTTTTGATAACTCATCTACAGACCAAGACCTTTCTTTGGACACCTCTATCAAGTTTCTACGCCCAACCGTTCTCTCAAATTAGTGGATACAAAGTTTCAAATTTAATATTTAGATTCCCCCATGTTAATCTTATGGGAGAAAGTCCAACTTTGATGGAAGATCCTGCCCAAACTAGTAAAGATATCAAAAACGAATAACACTTTGCAAAACTACATAACAGGGCAATTTAACACCAAAATTTATCATCAAAATTGGTCCAAAAATGAGGGAGGAGTTCTGTTTACAAAAATCTGCTTAGCGTTGAAACTATCTATAGATAGTTTCAAAAATATTATATATATAGGCAATGATTTTAAATGTTGTCAACACATTAAATTTTTGAATATTTAATAGGCAAAATACACATATAAAATATGTATATTATAGATACTATACTTATTTAATCAATATATATATACATTATGAATCTATTTTATATACCTCAAAACTTATAAAATTGACATTTTGCATCTTGCTATTTGGTAATATTAATAATATATATTTGAATATATCAAACTATTAGATATATTATTTATATGTTTTATTCGAGGTTCTATCAAATACAACTTTGAATATATAAGTAAAATACATATTTGTGCTACTAGGGCAAATAAGAAGCAAGAGACTCACACTTTGGCAGGAAGCTTTGTTCTAGATTTTGATACTTACTATATCAACATCAACTGCGACTTTTTCCAGCACACATAGTAGGCCTGAGTGAAAATTTAAAAACGTACGTTTTCATGCAGTGCCGGATTTAGGGTACTTGCGGCCCTAGGCCAAATTACTTGAGCGGCCCTCCCCCTGTGGTGAAAATTCCTTGCGATCGCGGAAGTAATAGTGACTATCTCCTATACATCAAGGGGACATCATCATCGACACCCGTGATCCTGGATGAAATCGTGGACATCTCTCCTAAACCAAGTCAAAGCCATCATAGTTATCCGGGACCGCAGTAAAATCGTGAACATCTCCCGCGGGCCGCAATCACGGGGACATCATAATTGAAACTTGCGATCGCGGCAAAGTCGTGTTAAAAAACCTCTCCCGTCGACTGCGATCATGACGACTTCATCATTGTCACCCGCGACCGTGCCGAAATCTTAAACATCCCGCTCGGGAAGCCATCACGGGAACGTCCTCATTGACACCCCGAGCCGCGGCGAAATCGTTAACAACTCCCGTGAACCACGATCACAGGGACATCATCATCAACACTCACAGCCGCGGTGAAATCATGAACATCTGCCGCGGACCGCAATCACGGGGACATCATCATCGACACTTGCGATCGCGGCAAATTCGTGTTAAAAACATCTCCCGTGGACTGCGATCATGAGGACTTCATCATTGTCACCCACGGCCGTGCCGAAATCGTAAACATCCTCCTCGGTAAGCCACCACGGGGACATCCAAATTGACACCCCCAGCCGCGGCGAAATCGTTAACATGACGCCATTGTATTATTCTTAATGAAATTACAAAATAAAGATTGAAAAAAAAACATCTCCCGTGGGCCGCAATCACGGGGATGCATCATCAACACTCACAGCCACGGTGAAATCATGAACATCTGCCGCGGACCGCAATCACGGGGACATTATCATCGACACTTGTGACCGCGGCGAAATCGTGAACATCTCCCGCACACGGGCCGCAATCACGGGGACATCATCATTGACAACTCGATAAAGCATCTAATTCGTGAACGTCTCCTGCGGGCTGTGATCATAAAGAGACATCCCCGTCACCCACGGCCGCGGCTAAATCGTGAACGTCTCCCGCGGGCCGCAATCCAGGACATCATCACAGGCACCCGAGGCCGCGGCAAAATCGTGAACATCTCCCTCGGTCCGTGGAGACATCATTATGGTCACCTGTGATCGCGGCAAACTGGTGGTTTAAAATAAATATTATTTGTTATTAATTTTATCTAAAAAATGTTTTTCCCAATCCTCTGCGGCCCCCTTTTGCTTGCGGCCCTAGGCCGCGGCCTAATCGGCCTAGTGGTAAATCCGGCACTGTTTTCATGTCCCTGGCCTTTTACTTCGTAGATACTGGATTTGTAGTTTATTATTATGTGTTTTAATATTTTTTGGGACGGGGGCAACATGTTACACACATTTATTTGGTTTTAAATAGGTTCTAGGTATTTTTTTCGTATTTTTAAAGTCTCGAAATTCACGACCATGACGTGTCCCTAGGGTACATTTTCCAACTTTCACGCTGTTTTTAGACTAATTATTCATGCCAAAATATATAATGCCATATTTTTATGTCATCAATGGTTATTAAACTTACAAAAAAGGAGCATATTATAATTTTATTGTCATTACAAACTGACTACCATGACAAAATAAGTCTGTCCCTCGATTTGGCGTCACGACCATTTGGGAAAAATTTTCAACTTTGGAGCACGACAGTGGCAAGCCTGGCGTCGATGGAGTCAGTTGGTTTTAGAGACTAGTTCGGGGTGTACGTCAGGATTGTAGTGCCGGTCGTTTCGAGTTGAAAGGAGGAATTACAAGATTAATAAAGGAAAGATTGTGTTTTTTGTAATTTTGGTGTGTCCATGACCGTACGTAGTCATTCGATGAAGTAGACATGGTGTTAATTTTTGTTTATAAGATATTTCAATTGCTAGATTAACCTAGAAGTCCACTTTGTATCCTCGAACATGAGGTGCAGGGCTACCGCCAGAACAGCCAAATAACACGTAATTTCACGACCAAAGTTTAACGACCATCGCGGGTTTTTTCACGACCAATCCAGCCTTATGGATTATAGTGTGTTTGGTCGTGACAATAACTTTAATATAATTGTAAATAGAACAGTTTAGTTCAATTGCTTAGAAAGATTTAGATTATTCCAGACAATTCACGACCGTACCGCTTGTCCCTGACCATCACGTTTATGATTTCTATCATAAAAATTTCAAAAATTAAAATATCGTCATATTTCAATGTTTTATACACAAAAGAAGCACACCTCTATACAAACATAACGATTTTTTGGGTCTCAGGTAAGTTTTTTCGGAGTTATACAAACTTAAAAAGATTTTATTGGCTTAATTTCAATTTTTTGAGTTTTTTATTTTTTTCTAGAAAGACCAAATATACAAAAAGCTCAGTGACCTTTTTATTATATAATGGTCATAAAAGTAAATTAGTTTTTAGCAAAACATAGTTATAAAAATAATATCAACTATTTTTAATATTCATTTAAACGTCCGTTATGGTCGTGACAGGATTTTGTGTTTTTCCACTAAAGATGCTCTTTTAAAAAGAAACTACCAAAGATATTGCGTTACCATGGTCATTTTATGAAACTTCAAATGTTAATGAAATAAAAAAAATAATAAAAGTTTTGAAAAAATGGGAAAAAAAATTGCAAAGTGCTTTTCCTGAAAACGTACGTTTTTAAATTTTCACTCGCCTACGTATAATCATAAGCATAGCCCCGTAATCATATAGACTAACCAACAATTTCTCATTCCATTGTAAATTATGAAGCTCGTTTTCGTGTCTAGTTCAAGTTATGGAGACACTGAGCATTAGTGTTGACTATATTTAGTTTAGATTTTTTTTGTTATTTAATGATTGATTTAAGCTTTACTGTTTGGTTCGTCTATACTCCTTTTATCTATGGTTATACAACTAGTTAGTGAGTTATCGTTTATGATTAGATAGTTTAGGTTTTAAATGACTGAAGTAACAAAAAACAAATTGTAAACCAAAAACGATTTAGGAGCACCAAACGTAACTAACAATAAAATTTTCTTCAGCTGATTCAGGATGACAACTCTACTAATGGGGATTGGGGAGTACAGCACAGCGGATAACGGCAGATATTGTCTGTGACGGCAGCTTCTGCCAACGAAGTGGAGGGTTACCGTGTATGCTTCAAGTCACTCCTTACAGAAAAATTTTAAAGCGTTGATTATAAAAAAAATAATGCTATAATACAGTAAACAATGTAATGTTTTATTTACAATGATTTGCATTAGCTTTTATGGCATTTTTACTACGATTCTGGACGCTGTATTATTCACTACTTTTTTTTAGAGAGAGATGCAAATGACCAATAACCATGGCCAATTACAGTAACGCAACCTTAACATTTATTAGGTACGTATTACCATTACCATTGACTGTTGGATACAGAAGTTGTATTAATAGTCAAAGGTATTACCATAGATAAATCATACTCCCTTGTATTACCTAAGGGACTATGTTTTGTCATAGACTAACGACTAACGAGTATGTTTGATCTATGGTAATAGGCTATATAAAATACGAAACACCAGCCAGTTTATAGGCTACGTTAGTTTTGGTGTTGGCAAACCTTCTCTACCATATGACTTTAAAAAAAAAAAACAACCCTTCTTATTCTTAAACCAAGTAAAGTAACCAAGATGGTAGTCTGTCAAACAGGTGGTGATGTTCTGCTTGTGCTCTAAATAATATTCAATACAAACTATAAACATTGACTATTGACATCTTTCGTAAAAATGTAAAGTTTTTAGGAGGAGGTTTGCCTCCTTTAAAATGGATGAAGTGAACAAATCCAAGTCGTTGATTCGGGTAAAGCGTAAAAAATTGCCTTTGTTTGAAAACAAGCTGAATGAAATTCAGGATAAGTTTTCAGTTCGACTTCAGAAATGTTTACCAGTGCCCTCTAACCCTCGTGTAGTGCTTTTCAAATTAGAACAAGAAAGACGAAGAGAAATCGTCGATTCTCTCCTGTCCGATGTACAGGTATGTTGTATGTTTTAGTTAATTTACAAAAAGGCCCTAGCTTTGAGTAAAGAAAGCTAAACTTATACCTTGTTGGTATAACTTACCTATCTTGGTAGGCTTAACCCTAATAAAACCTTGCAAATGAGCAAAAAAAAAAGCCTTTTTTTTTGCTCATTTGCAAGGTTTTATTAAAACGGATCTGAGAAGCTTGAAAACAATGTTAATTATACTGTTCTATATACCATTTTGTTTGGAAAATCATGGGCTTCAATAATGTACATAAAACATAAGTAGGCCTACCATTTGGATAAAACTGAACTTATACTACTTAAGTTATGTTATATTGAATTTTTTTGCCTTATCTACCTAAATTAGACCGTTTTAAGCACTTTTTACCATTGGCACTTTTGGGGGAAACGCCTATTTCACCCTGAAAATCACGTTTGAAAATCAAGAAAAATGCTAGAAATCAATGATTTTAGACGCATGTGAAACTTTTTGGGTGCAATTTCTGGGTACAGTTTCTTAACTGGGCTATGCTAATATCGATTTAAACTATCGATTCGATTAGTAAACCTTCATGTGATTTTTTCACCATCAGCAAGTTTGGTTGGTTAGGTTAGGTTATGATAGTTTAATTTTATATTATAAATATTTTAAAAATATTGTTTATTAATTTAAAATATTGTTACTAATCGATATATTTACCAGCTAAGTTATAACTTATCAGTTATAAAATTAAACTATCATAACCTAACCTAACCAACCAAACTTGCTGATAGTGAAAACATCGAATGAAGGTTTACTAATAATCTGTATTATCATAGCTAAGTTAAGAAACTGTACCCAACTTATTTTTACTATATGTCAATAACTTAATACTAACCTAACCTAACTTAGCCAGGGTTTGCCCAAAATCTGTCATTTTGGCACATTGTTAACCTAAGCATGGGTTAGGTTAGGTTAGGTTAAGTTTGGTATATAATTTGGTTTACCCAAAAATGAGGTCATTTTTGGTACTTTACTACTTATTTTTTACGATTTTTCAAACCTAGTTTCCTGGGAAAAAACAGAATTTGCAAAAAAAAAAAGTGTTTAAAATGGACTAATAATAAAAAACCCCCAACCCTGAGTTAAAAAGAAAATTATCAAGCCCCAAAAATCATTGATTAGGCCTAGGCCTACCAGCATTTTTCTTGATTTTCAAACGGGATTTTCAGGGTGAAATAGGCGTTTCCCCTAAATGTGCCAATGGTAAAAAGTGCTTAAAATACCGTAGTCTAATTTAGGTAGATAAGGCAAAAGAAATTCAATATAACATAAGTAGTATAAGTTGAGTTTTACCAAAATTTGTTAAAAAAAAATTTTAGGTAAAAAAAAATATTTTGGATACCCTAATTAAAAAAAAAAATAAGTTTGCGCTAAATGAAATTGTATAAATTATAAATTATAGGCCTATAAATATTTGAAAATAGCCACTTTGTTCTAAATTTTATGACGATTAATAATATAAGGAAGTAGATTTGCAAATAAATAAGTTATGGGCAAAAAACAGATTTCAGTACATAGCGTTTAGCTAAGAATGCATAGCCTAACCGTAGCTAGGAATCTGGCTGATAAATTACATCAATATCACTACCTACTTCTTCAGGATCATCAACCAGCCCTTCAAAATCCCTTAACCCTTAATTTGACAGCGTGCCATTATTGGCACATGAGAATTCAAAAAAATGCCACGTTCGACTGTTAACTTTTTAATTCCAACAAACGGCGTCCAAAGGTTCTTTGTCTATTGCTATTATGGTTTAGTGCACTATATTGGATGTTTTGGAAATTACTATCACTTTAGACCAACATATAGAAAAGGAAGTATGGAGGCTTAGTGTAGAAGGTTAGTAAATTACTTCTTATTTCAATATTTTAGGCTGTTTACTTATATATCTAAGTGATTTGCACAGATTAAAGATGAGAAAACATAACCCAGGTCAGTAATTAGCTTAAATATGAATATTGATTTTTTTATAAACTAAACAATTTGAGTGTGAGAAAAATGGCACATTGCCAAAGAACCAGTGAACAATGAAAATTTTTGGGCGTGCCAAAAATGACACATTCCCAAAGATGCAGTTATTTTTTTTTTAGTTTATTGAGCGCGCCTAAAGTGGCACACTGTTTATAAAACATTGAAAGGTATTTATATTTGTAAATGTATGTCTCTTATTACCACAAATTGTAAAATAAAAATGTTTTTGTAGGGAAAGATTTTTCACTAGGCTGTTTAGAAGAGACTTTGGCTTTACAAAAAATCCAGACCATCCATGGCAACAATATCTACCAAAAAGAGTTTTATTTCCTGCTGAAAGTGAATCTTCTTATATGAAAGTTGTTTGTGCATTCCGATAAAGACTTTGGTACTTACAAATATTTGCTCACCGTATCAACATATCGTGGAATAACGCATTGCTGCCACGTTGAAAATAATTAAACTGAAAACCAGCAAGACAATATGTTACTAAAAAATTTTAGTTATAGGATTTTTGAATCGCTAACCAAAGAAAGGAGTAAAAGACAAGTTCTAAAAGACAAGGATTTACTTCTTGTCACACCAGCTGCTCTGATGTATGTTGAAGTTGTACGCTTTGATGGTGTTGGACACTACCCTTTTTTTGTATACATCAAGAGGTCGATGCAGATTTTGCAACAATAAAAAATCGCCTTTAGAGTGTTCAAAGTGCAATGCGAGGATGTAACTGAAAGAAAATAGCAATTGTTTTGAGGGGTTTCACCAAAAGTAGATGACGTTTCTTGATGTACATACTGTAATGAAATTTCAAACGATTTTCATGATGTGCATGACTAATGAAATACCAATAAATTATATAATAATGTATTTTCTATTGTAATCACATAGTTTTGTAGAGATTTTACATGTGTATACATTTTACTTCATTTTTTATAATGACGTTTATACCATTTTATATTGGATTGATAGCTTTTGTGGAGAAATTGATTTTTTTATATCTTGCATATTATTATAGTTATACAATTTTGATATCCAATATGTGATAATGTCGACTTATTCAAACCCTAAAGTTTATTTTTAAGTGCTATACAGATAAACTTGTTGTATTTAATTCAACATAAGATTCCTAGAGAAATCTCCGCATCTTTGGCAAAGTGCCAAAAATGGCACACATGAAAAAGTTGTGAAAAATACTTATAAGAATTTTAAAATTATTTTTTTGAAGTTCCTTTGGACCCTTTTGATTGAAATATTGCAAGGAAAAAGTAGTTTTCAAAAAAAGATTTGTTTGCCAAATTAAGGGTTAAATCTTCTTATAATGCACCACGTATATCACTACTTTTGATTTTTAACACTAAAACAATGATAAACGTAATAAAACACATCAGTCATCGGTCCGAGGTTAACCAAGCTGTTTACAAATACGCACGTCAGCTGTCTGCTACAATATTTTCGGAACTAAAATGAAAAGCGCTTAGAGACAGACCTCGGGAGAAAGCTCTGAATCTGTCAAATAAAACGATACCTAACTCGATCCAATTCAATCCGATTTTGTCAGTCATAGAGCCTTCGCCGTAAACAGTGTTTGTGAGTCGCTGCAGCGACAAATAACACTCGGAGGGTTATTTATTGGTGTAGTATTATTAATTAGCCTGCTATTGATTTTAAGAGTCATCTGGATATGTACTGAATTTTATAATTTCTCTTCTTGTACACTATTTAATCGGGTTCCTTTGTTCAAAATAGTCTTGGACTTATAGAATCAACGTCTATTAGCCTAATTTTTTAATAGTTTAACCTATCAAAACAAGATTAACCCAGTAAGTTAATCGCTGTGGCATAACACTGCGGCCACATGGATGTTTTTTCACGCACAAACGTAGTGTGAAAACACGCAAAAAATATGAGCAGCATTGAATGTAATGGCCTGGGGATGCCACACACGACGTGTTTTCCCACAGTAGCGGGCGCCTATTTTTTTCAATGCTACCCTAATTTGTTGTGTGTTTTCACACTGTGAATGTGCGTGAAAAAACCCCCGTGTGGCTGCAGCCTAACTTAGGCATCATACTGATCTGATTGAGACAACCGTTTGGTATTTACAGTTTGGTTTTAATGGGTAGGTACCAACACGTGATGGAAGGAGATAACGTCTAGATGTAATAGACTAAGTCACTCAAAACCACTAATAAATCAAAAACCTTAAATGTTAACTTTGTCAATACTGTATAGGCCTATAAATGAACAATCTGAACTATGAAGCATTGATAAAATCAGCAACACACAACTTTCCTAGACATAATGGATCAACACTTGACCTGGCAAAACCGCAGAGGTCTGGACAAACTTGGAAAACATTATTTTTAACTTAAGTGCCGACCATACGAAAGTCGGTACTGTATTTCAACCCTTTCAATGATAGAATTTTTTTTGTAATCTTCCAAAAAATGCTAACTTAGAGTTATTTAGGTACTTATTTTGTCCAAAAAGTGCTAAGGCTTTCCACGGGGCCAAGTCTAGGGTGTGAGAAAGAAAATCGGTAAAAATAAAATTGGTTACAGTATCTCAAGAGGGCTAAAGAACGATATTTTGGGCCTTAATCGTATGAGGAATCGAAAGAAACCATCATGTTTCCAAACAACAAAAGAGTCACCGATATGCCCATTTAAACTCACACCATTGAAAATCGCGCCGGCACGATATATCATCGCTTATCACTTTTCGTATGAAACGCGATCAACGAAATATTGTTACATAGCCCTTTTTGGGAAAAAGACGCACAACGTATATCATCGCATAGCACTGAAAGGGTTAAGCCGAGAATGGAGATGAGTGGTACGATCTTTTAGTCTTGTTACTGAGTAAGGCTGACATGTTCCTTAGTTAGGACTGTTAATTAATAGCCCATACAACCAATGGCAACTAAGGGACCTACAGTTTATAGTGGAATCCAAACCACATTTTTGCCTTGTAATTTACAAATTGGTCTAATCAT